GTGGGATGGGATTGAAACTTCTTCCCTTGGAAACTTCCAAGTTACATGGAAACTCACCTACAACCAGCAACCAGCTAAACAACCATCAGACTCCCAGGTGGGTGGGTGGGATGGAAACTTCTTCCCTTGGAAACTTCCAAGTTAACATGGAAACTCACCCACAACCAGCAACCAGCTGAACCACCATCAGACTCCAAGGTGGGTGGGTTTGAAACTTCTTCCCTTGGAAACTTCCAACTTCATTCAACTTCCATCTAGCAAAAGTCCCATCTTGGAGCACTTTTACAACAAACCAAAGCACTTTTACAACAACTTAAGCTTCAGTTTCTTGAGGATTTAAGCGTGAAGGGAACTTCCCGAAGGTGGCACTTGTTGGCAAAAGTGGGAAGATGAGCAATGAGCAATGCATGTCCAGTGTTTGAACTGTGTGTGTGTGTGTGTGCGTGTCTCTATTTTTCCGCTTTAAACAGCGTACACATGAGCTAGGCTGGATTTGGAATTGAAGAGCAACATGACTTGGTCATGCCGCGTGACCATACGTGACCCCGGGTCCCCCCCCAGACAAGGATGTTCCAAGGTTCACTCAGACATTCTCGGAACAACGTCCGGAAACCCCCCGCGTCGAGGATACGATTGCAGTCACCCAGAATTTCTGCAGCAAATGGAACGCAAGCGAGGTTTGGAGGTGCACCACTGCGACGCATCCGGTGCTCGCGCGCCAGCTGCGGCCACTCCTTGAACCACTGAGCAGAGATGGTGAACTAGGCAATCCACGACAATCTTCTGAGCATCTTGGTGGACGGTTTAGGACTTGAGTCAGTTTTTGGAACTTCGAAGCCAGAACTCTCGCGCCGTAGTTGTACAAAGAGCACTTGTTCAAAAACATGATTCAAAGGGTGTGGGTATGGCCCACTCATGGCTGTCGGGATAGCCCGGGGTCTTTCCTACAACCCCACAAAAACGATACAACTGGATGTTTTTTCTCCAGAAGCTAGCGCACCTGTGTTTCTCAGACATGACAACAAATGCATGCCGCAAAAGCTGAAAACATACTGGCGCCAGGTATGATAAAGAGGTGCCTCGGGCCGATGGCGCAAGTACTGATGAAGACGCTTCGTCAGATGATGAGTATTTGACTTGGCTTTGGGAGCGCAAGCGCCAAAATGATACGTGTGCGCATGCTGACATCAGGTCCTATTTGTTGAATGTGGCGTGACTAATTGTTATTTCTTCAAATGTTCCTTCCTATCAAGAGGACCTGTCCTGATTGCTCTTGCTGAGCCCTTCGATTTGTTGTCTCTGATAGAATGTCCATCTTCTCAACTTGACAATTGAGGGGCACTATGTTTCTTCTTTTAAAGAACATATACGGGAGCGTATTAGTATCCGACACTGGAAGTCGCATATATATATATATATATACATATACATATTGGTTTTAAAAGAGCGCAAGTCCTCGGCATGTTTAGCACAAGCAAACAAACGGCCCCAAAAAAACTCTTCAGGTGTTCAGTACTTCAGCGCGCTTGTGTATCCTGAAAGCTTTTGGCCCCCGAACATGGAGCCTGAATGAACCTGAGAATTGACTGGTGGAAGACAATTTTCCTCTACAACCTACGGTAATCTGCAGGGGAGTAGACATGTTGAATACAGCCAAGCCACCCTAAAGTACCGGGCGTGTTCTCGTCTTCAGTTACACGATCGCTCGAAGAGTTTCTGCAAGTATTATGTGACTTGAGCCAGTGTTTTTGACAGTCAGACTGACTTTTTAGACATATTAAATAGTTTTGCGGTACGGTAAGGGCTTGTAGGGCATGGGTGTTGCTGATAGAATCATAGTGACCGCGTTCAACTGGAAGAGCTACGCATGTCGATGGAAGAAGGATGAAGAAGGTGTGGGTGCGGTTTTTGCTCAATAGTTCCTTGCTCATTGTAAGCGGGGTTCAGGCAATGTAAGACATGTAAGACTTCACCCTAATATCAACAGTTAACACTGTTTGGAGGAACATTATCCTTTTAAATGCTAAATGTGTATGCAACCGGCAGTGTAGCTCAACAGATGTATCATGTTATGAACTGGACCTTGTGGTCCGCAGGTTTCACTATATAGTCTCCGCAATATGATCCAACATGTGGCAAGTGGGCACACACACACATACAACCCGCCATTCGGGCGAGTTACTTCCCTATTCCGCTGAATATTGGGCCGTTCGGTTTCTCCGATGCTTGCAAGTGCTTGCTCGCCTGGGAGTCGTGCCCAGCACTGGGTGCCACGGAAACACCAGCGACCACAACGATCAGCGGGAGCAGGAAAGACCTCCCCGCTTGGCCTTGGGCTTTGGGCCTTGGGCTTTGCGCTCCTCAGAGCGCGAGAACCTCGCACCTCACGGGCATCGCGCAGTGCTTGGAAGCAAAAGCATTTGGCCATGCGGCTGTCGGAGCTCCCAAGGCATCCATCCCACAAACCACAGCTGGAACAGTATGCCACGGATGGCGACACTGCAGCTTGCTGGCTCATGGGCATAGATCGGCAGGACACGTTTGCAGAACTGGAGGAAGGTGTGTTGGATTTGGGCGCAGGGAATGGGATTCTGGGCATCGGCGCTTTGCTACTGGGGGCGCCCACGGCCATTTTTGTGGAGGTGCTTTGACCAATGCGAGTGCTGGTTGTACCACTAATCAACCGGTCGTTTTTGCAGGTGTTTGCCAAAGAGTCGTTTGTGAATGTTTTTGACTTCGAGTCGAGAGTTCTAAGTTAGGGGTGCACAAATGAAAGGATCGACACCCCGCTTTCGCGCCCATTTCGTTGGTCCAGATCTTCGCCAGGTGGACCCGAAGACCTGTGAGGTCTTAGAAGAGGCCCTAGAGGAGCAAGGCCTGCGACGCCGCGCGCAGATCATCCAGCAGGATCTCGCGAAGTGTCCACAGCTGGAAGACTTGCGGATTGACTCCTGGATCAGCCCAGATGGCAGGAACAGGTGTCGGTGTTGGGTCCCGCCAAGAATCTGGACAGTGTGTTGTTTCATGTGATTTCTTTGGGGCTTGGGATAAATAAGCATGGAAGTTCACGTTCTGATTGAACGGATGATGTTGCACCTACCTTCACACGCAAATGCCTGCAACAGAAATACAATGCATCGCATGCTTGTGAGTGAGTGTTTTATTTTGCCTGACTCAGGGCGATCAAGCTCGATAGTTCAATCACGATCTAAATATGGCATGTTAATGCCATGTGAGCATCCCTGGGTAGACACAAACCATTCGGCTGAATTTTGGAAGGTTGCGATCGCCACATACAATATTTTCTCACAGTGTGGACACGCTTGGGTTTGGTGACATGCACCAATGTGCATTATATAACTATGTATATAACTATATATATATATTATATAACTATATATCTTGGAACGGGCCATGTCTTTGGTTCCAACCTCCCAACCATTGCATCCTCCCAATCGACATGGACGTCTGAGCCCGCGGCGTCGAGCGCGGGGATTCTTCCAGCCGCGTTCGTCTCCCGTTGGACGCTGGGCGAGCATGGCCGGCGGGTGGTTCCCCAAGGACCCAGAGCTGGTGGTGATGAACCCGCCCTGGGGTCAGCAGCGGCGCTCGGCCGATCGGCCCTTCTTGGAGGCCTCGGTGTCGTTGAGCTCGGTGAGGGCCGTACACGTGATGCACAGCGCAGAGGCGAAGCATGTGGAGCCCTGGGCGGAAGATATGGGTTGCCTGGAACTCAAGGTGACATTGTGTTTTTGGAATGTGTTGATGGTTCTCAAAGGGGGGAAGTTCACCGACGTTGTATCGAACAATGAATTAACTATCATTCACTATACAATGTATTCCATTCATTCAGTGGCCCTTTTTTCCTGGACACAAGCAGTTAGTAAAGTACAATCATGCAACAGGGATTTTGAAGACCTAGCCCGTTAATGCCTATTATTCTGCAAAAGCTAAATGTTGGTCATGCAAGTGTTTGACGACTCAGTTTGAGCGAGTTTTTGTCCGCAACCAGTTGTGGGTAAAAGGCCACGGGAAGGAATCAACTACCTCGCAAGTTCAAGTGACACACACACACACACACACATCACACCACACACACATAATGTCACATATATGTATATACTTTGTTGTATATCTATATCTATATCTATCTATCTCTCTCTCTATATATGTGTGTGCTTCGGGTTCTAGTGGATAATAACTGCCAGAGAGTCCAAGTCTATAGTCCAGGTTGGACTGCCACACGCTGGTTGGAAATTGATTTTCCTCTGCCGCGCTGCTATGCGCACCAGCGCCAACGGCGCAGCTTTACCACAGCGGCGATGTGGAGGATTCACCGGGCAGAACGTGCAGAGCAGGAGGAAAGAACGAGGGCCATCGAGGGGGAGCAAGGATGGGCGGAGCAGAGGTGCAGGTATGGATATGTCTGGTTGAATGATTGAACTTAAGATTGTTGGCTTACCTTTATGCGTGCATACCTATACTCATGGCAAGTCGAAAGCATGTTGGGCTTTGCGTTCGTTGCTGCCATTTCCACTCCACTGTGGGAGGCTTATAGCACATGTTGGCCCAGAAACAAAACAGATGAACATACAATGTGCACCACACCGTGCAGAGAAAAACACCGACCCGTGCTAAGCATCCACTATTCTACATAGCTGCAAGTTACGAGTTTGCCGGTGAACAGCAGCTTCGACCGCTTTGACGAAGTATGTTGCAAAAGATGATTTCTGTTGAATGCAACTGAGGCCGTACAGCGGGCGCTTGGTCAACAGTGGCTACGCTTGGAGCATCACGGACATCGTTTTGCATCTTGGACCAAAAGATGTGAGTGGTGCCTGACACGGGGAATAGTGGAAGGGTGAGTCGAGTGAATGTGCTCTACACGTGTTGCAAGAGAGCCCTCAAGCCTCAAGCCATGTGAACCCTGCAAATAGACCCTTGCTTGGTCAAAACCTAGACTGACCTAGACCTACATCCCCAAAGCAGTGTAGGTAGACATGGTGAGCATCTGACAGTTTCTTCATCATGTTTGTCATGGTGTACATGGGTGGTGTGCGGTATCAATCTGCCACCAGTTCTGTTACAGGGCATGTTGTTTCTCAACATCTCCTTGAGGTATCTTGAGGTCACTGATTAAACCTGACCCAAGCCGGATGACTTGGCCACTCCCAAGTGATAGAGTGGCTGGTGGCTGGCTGATCAGTAAGTTAAACGTGTTTTGCTGACAACTTTAATATGGCATATATAGTATATACTGACTTATGACATGATATGTAGTTTTTTAGCTTTGCCCCTTTTCAATCTGAAGGCTTCCCTTCTGAAGACCTCCCTTGAACTCAAATCCTTCATATTCACTCCACCTTAAGGATTCGCCTTCGCATTCCTTGCCACCCGAGGAAGTGGGATGGCCTCGGCATGCCGCCGCCGGAGCTTCCCCTGCGGCCGCGAGGGCCTCCGGAGCCCATCCCCGAGGTGCGGAGCGAGACGCCGGCCGTGCCCCGCTCCGCTCACGCTCACGTTCATCGGCCTAGACTGGGGGTCGGCGGACTACTATATAGTTATATAGGATAAAATAGGGTGGTATCTTTGGAACGAGAGGCTTCGCAAGGTGCTGTGGCGTGTTGTTTGCTTCCCGGATGTTTTTTCTGTTTTGGGATGGTAAGGGGGAACTGGCTTGCGATGACTCAAATAGAAGAGCCACTGGGCGAGAAAGAAGCATGGAAACTTGATGACATCGGTGGAGGCTCCTGATTCCTGGTTGGCATGGAATCATCACGATCCATTCCAGATCCTTTGTATGTGAGCAGGAGCAGCAATCGGGACGGAGGAAGAAGTTTGCGGAGCAGGCAGGGGACTGAGGATCAGAGTCACGCAGCGAAGACATCAGATCTTATTGTTGGCATATCAAATTTAGAGATGAGATGAGCTACTAGCTACGTATTGAGCCATAGCCCAAAGCTGCCGAAATAGTCCGAAGCCATGTTTCTCAGAGGTGTAGAGAAAACAGACTGAACATGAGCTCAATCCTAGAGAGACCGCCAAATAATTAGACACATTGATGTATTCACCACCTCCAACCATTTGCCGACATGCATTCAACCATTGGTATATATTGATCAGTTGAACATTCGTTGAAACAGGATCATTGACACGGCATCGTGCTTGTGGGTACACGATCCCTCGCCCCATCGACCAGGCGGAGCAGCTGCTGACGGACAGACGGGTGGGATCGGGTGCCACGCGGCACGGACGGCGGAGCCGAGCGTACGGAGGTGCGCGCGACTCTCAAAGACTGCGACGCACAGTTTCATGTAGTCAACGCCGAGAGAGTCCATTTCAGTATGTGGATGTATTTGGCCCTTTTTTCTCTTGTATGGCCCTTGGGGCTGGAAATCTTCACAAAGATACTGCCTGTGAGTCAGGAGAAAATGCCCAGCCTCTATGGCTCTTCTGCACTGGACAAGGTCAAAGCAAGAGCCTCGCCTGCAAGACTGGGACTATCCCCCGGTGGGATTTGGTGGGAAGCCTTGGAAAGCTGGGCTTTTACTTGCATTCGGACTGGATTGCTGGGCTCAAGCTGGTACAGAAGCACAGACTCTGAAAGTTGAGGGTGTTATTTCTGTCACTGTAGGTACTGTAATTGTTGTTTCTTTGTGCTTTGAAGAAGGAAGAAAGAACACTGAAAATAAGGAAGACCACAACAGAAAGAGCACACCTAGTGTGAGCCAAGTTCACTTAGCGGCTTAGGCTTAGCCCCTTGGATCATGTCCGCTGGCCCCTTCCAAGAAATGTCGGCCATGGAGCAAGCAGTACAGGAAAATCGCAGCATTACCAAAAGAGAGTCGATCATTCGACTATGTGCAGCTATTCTCTTGGCTCTTTTACTGCTGGTCCTTCTAGGATTGCATTCAGTTGGGTATGGTGGCATCTTTGGCATGTCCTGGGGTGCCGGCTATTTGTACTTGTCCAGCTTACGAAGTGAATGAGCTTCAAACATGCTGGGTCGCTGGAGTGTGGACGGTGTCTTTTCAATGCGACGGGTGCCTCGGGAGTATCAGGAATGGGCTCGGAAGAAACAGATTGAAGCCATTAAAACCTTCCTGCTCACGCTGGCTTTGGCGCTTGCTTTCACGCTTGCCATGTACATCGCGGGGTTTTAGAACAGCTTCGACCCTCAGGCTACTAGCATAGCAATTCAATCATTTACAGTAGCTTCACCGTATATTAGCATAATGTAAAACTGGCCTGCTTTTATAGAAGTTGATAAGTTGATTTTGAACAAATATTACTTTCCATGTTCAATCACGAGCTTCCAACCTGACAGCTTCAAACGCTTGCGGCACCCTAGAACCAAACCATCGCTAGCGCTAGTGAGACGCTCGTCGGGGAGTCCTTTGCAGAAAAACACTACATAATTAAACCATCGCTAGCGCTAGTGAGACGCTCGTCGGGAGGTCCTTTTCTGAAAAACAATACATAATTAAACCATCGCTAGCGCTAGTGAGACGCTCGTCGGGAGGTCCTTTGCTGAAAAGACATTGCATAAATAACCATCGCTAGCGCTAGTGAGACGCTCGTCGGCGGCCCTTTGCAGAAAGACAATAAATAATTAACCGTCGCTAGCGCTAGTGCTCCTCGAGGGGGGGTTTGCATAAAAATACACCAAAAAATATTACCTGCATTTAAGGAAAACACTGATTTAACAGAGTGCGACGGTCGCCCCCTCCTAAAACCATCGCTAGCGCTAGTGAGACGCTCAGGGGGGGGTCCTGATTTCGCTGGACCTGACTCAAAACACTGTCCTTCGCAGAAAGTTTTTGCGACCGTCGGTACTTAGAGGCTGCTCCGGCGAAGTGAAAACTCCACTAGAACCATCGCTAGCGCTAGTGACTGTTCTAAGAGGTTGCGACGGTCGCAGCCTGGTAGATCACTGTTTTCTTTAAAAGCAGGTAATATTTTTTGGTGATTCTTTCAAGGTTCCACCTGGCACCGACCATCCCCATGATGAAAAGCTTGGAAACCTGCTCCTTCCTGGGAAATCCAAAATGCAGGGTGTGTGTACGGAAAGGGTGTCAGCAAGCACTGCTTCACGAGTACCTCCAAAATACCTTCCAAGAAGCTTTGAAAGGTTTCTAAAGGGTCCACCCTTCCACTAAAATTGAATGGTCCGTGAATGAGGCCAGGTTCCACGAAAGTCCTGGGCCTTGGCCCAGTCAGAGTCAGTAGAATAGGATTTGCAAAACCCTTTCTGTGCTCTGCCCTTCCGTTTGTTGCTGGGAATTCTGGTTGGTGTGGGAACCCTGGGTGGTGTTGGAACAGGTGCAGGACCCGGTGTGGGAACCCTGGGAATCAATATTTTTTGGAAATCAACTGTTCAACTTCTTTAAAAGCAGGTCAGAAAAAATTATATAGATTTATCAATATCAATATAGACTACTTCTCGATTTTGGGGGGGCTGAACAATAAACAGTGTGGTTCCTCTTTGCTTCTTTGGGGCTGTGTCAAGCCTAACCGCAAAGATGCATGTTGTCATTGCCACTTGCTCTGGTTGGTCTTCATTTCTGTTTGATAGTATCATCCAAATAATTCTATATAGATCACTGCGCAAAGCATCACACATATCTTATATATACACAGTACACAGTATATTATCATACAAAACCTGACTTCAAGACATAGATGCGTCAAACTTGACTATACAAAGATATAAAAGGGGACAAAACGCTTGGGTGTAAGAGTCTAACATGCTTTGACGGCTTGTGGCTGTTGAAACCACGCCGGCTCGATGAGCTGTCAATGATTCTCCGCCCGCCGTGGTGTCTTGCTTTCGGCAGTCATGAGGGTCGTCTCGGAGCTGGGGCCCGGTGGTCATTTAGCAAGAGCATGCTAGAAGCACTTGGGTTCCACTGCGTGGTCTCAATTCAAAAGTTCGACCACAGCTAGTGACAGATCCTGAGTTTTCCGCTAGTCAGTCAATATGAAGTGGAGTTGAGCAAAGTGGAGAACCTAAAACAGGACCCGAAAACCCTGAACAAAAAAACATCCCCCAGCACATGTATGATGGTTCAAACGCAGAGTTAGCGCCAGTTAGCGTTACCACTTTAGGACGACACTCCATTGGCATTTCCCCAGCACTTCCGGCGAATGACGGCCCATGACCTCGCGGCCATCGGCGCCTGATGGCTGGGTGTTGGCCCCGTCCGAGACCTTTGTTGGCTGAGACACCCTGATCATACTTCTACTTGTGCGAGACAAGTGGAGATGGATGCATGGAAAAGGGGCCTTTGAGAAATCTTGAGAATGCGAAAGTGGCCCTGGGACAAGAGGTCACCATAGAAGCAGGTCAAGATCATTCAAGACCCTGCAAATCCTGTGACCGAGAAATGATATTTCATTGAGCATCGCATGTTGAACATGTTGGGTGTATGTACGTGGGCCAGAGTTGGATCTGCTGCCGGGGCTGTTGGTTGGGACTGAGCGCTTGGTTTTTCTGTGGCTCCTCAGTTTGAGGCTTCCTGCTGGCATCTAAGAGGTTCCGCAACTTGACCCCAAATCTCCACAACAGGTGATTTTCCCTCTGAACAAGTAGAATACATGAAAGCAGTTTTGGATAAAGTGTACAGCAAGAAAACAGCCTTACATATCAATGAGCAGAGTCGCCCAAATCTGTCGAGGCTCTCCCTAGCATTTGGTTTTGTAGGCCAATTTGCACATTCAGTACACTGAATACACATGCGTACATACATGTCAATCTGGAAGCGCCACTCAACTCGCATCTGAGGAGCCGACATCCTGGCCTCGCTGGGCTTTGATGACCAGCACATCTATGGAGTCGATGGCTTGGTGCGCCAAGGGGAGCGGAAGCCGACAGGGCGCAGTGACCGTCGGCACTTGGTTGGGGTTTTGGACATTTTGTAGGTGATCTATAGACAGAAGTGCGAGACGGTTCAGTGGGTGGCCCACCACAAAAGGGTGAATGGTTTGGCGTTCAATTTGTTTAAGTGTGACAAATTGGGACCCAGGGTGGTGGACTTGCTGGGATTTCTGTGTCGGACCAGAAGTGTTGACGACTCTTTGGCCTTAGGTGTCGAAACTTGAGTCATTTGGCCAATGCGTTGCATGTTCATTTGCATCGCCCTCTCATCGCCTGCCGTTTTGCTCACGGACCCCCAGCCGCTGCCAGTGACTCACCCACACTCCCTCTCGGAGCGCCAAAACGGGACGAACGCCATGGACGAAAGTGTCTTGGTGACCTTGGCCCGCGTCGCCGAACGGGCTGAGCGTTACGATGAGATGGCGGATTTCATGAAGCAGCGGGTGGGGGACCCAGGGAGTTGGTCAAGTGCGGAGGAGAGTTGTGCAAAGATGTGCAAAGGAGTGGGGAACCATAAGGATTATGATATAAAAAGCACATTTAGATTGACAGTTTAAGTAGTTTAGTCATGTCAGCCTTTGAAAGCGACAGCTGGTTAGGATAAGATATGAGGACGGATAGTGTTGACTCTTGATTAATAAACTCCCCCCCCGGCCCCGCCCTCTCAACAATTGGATCCTCTAGAATAATATGATACAGAACCAATCAATTGATAAAAATGAAAAGAATCATATCTTAGCTATCTCTTTCAATACTAAAAATTAAAGGAATCATGTCTTGGCTATCTCTGGCAATACTAAAAATGAAAAGAATCTGACTTTCAGGAAATAAGGGAATGATGAAGCAACACATTTTTTGGAGCCTGAAATCTCTAGACATTATTCTAGGGCCCCCCCCTAAATACTGGCAGAAAGCTGCTTGCTGGACTACCCCCTTTGCTTGAATGTGTTTTTTTCCAATACTTTTGAATAATTGATTTTGCATAGAAAGTGTGCAATGACTTTTTGGAAACTTTTTGGAAAGCTTAAAGACTAAAGAGCTTAGGTAAGTAAAGCAAATCAAAAGGAAAAGAAAGGGAATGCATACAAGTTTACTTAAAGCAAAATAGTTTTTAAGCCTGAAATCTCTAGACATTATTCTAGGGCCCCCCTAAATAATGTCAGAAAGCTGCTTGCTGGACTACCCCCTTTGCATGAATGATTTTTTGTGGTTTTTGTTTCAATACTTTTGAATAAAGGATTTTGTAATGAAAGTGTGCACTGACTTTTGGAAACTTTTGGAAAGCTTAAAGACTAAAGAGCTTAGGTAAGTAAAGGAAATCCAAATGAAAAGAAAGGGAAATCTTCAAATGTTTAATAGAAATCTCCATCCAAAAGCCTCCAAAAGCATCAAATCTCAATGGAAATCTTCAAGTTTTTAATAGACATCTCCACCCAAAAGCCTCCAAAAGCATCAAATCTCAATGGACATCTCCAATTTTTATAGACATCTCCATCCAAAAGCCTGTAAGCTAAGCAAATCCGAGCAAACTCAAAAGGAAACAGTAAACTATAACAATTAAACATATTCCACTACAACTATCCATGCCAAAAAAAGAAAACACATACATTAATCTGGGGGCCCTAATTAATTTGTACAGGAAAATTATTATTCTGGGGTACTTTATTAATCCAGGTGCTACATTACTACATTACCCAGAACTTGGGTTATTTGTGTTGTGATGAAGTTCCTGCACAGATTTGTCAACTTCGTGTGGCTGCTTTTAGAACAGTTATTGAAGGAAACATATGCAATCATGAGCCTTCGCCACCTGAGGTTGAAGTGGGATCCGCGCTGAATCCAGAGGACATCGACCCACGAGCGTCGTAATACATTTGCTATTTTGTTCCTAGTAGCGTCCTTGCTCCTAGTAGCGATGCCAGGAGCCTCTAGTAGCTTCTTGTTCCTAGTAGTAAGGCCAGGAGCCCCTAGTAGCATCCTTGCTCCTAGTAGCGTCCTGTTGCTGTTAATTTGCCTTTTTTCTCACCCATAGCCCATAGCTTGATGACTGATGGAGCTTAGTTTAGTCAACCTGTGCAGCAAGAGTTCTTTTGTCCACTGGTGCTCTATAAATTCGGAAAGAGTGGATCAATTGTGATGTCACAGGAGTAAGAACATTCAAAGGCCTGGCTCCCGGTTTCAATAGTAAATTAGCGGATTGCTCTCGTGCATTCCTTGATTCGCACTAGTTATATAAGTCTAAGTGGCCAAATCAGCTGGCAGTTGCTGATTCATGCTGAGAAACTGGCTGGGAGTTCAAAGCTTGCGGCCAAGCACGAGCTAGCTTTGACCATGCCCCAGCTCTCTATCCTAGCCCCCCTCCCCACACTTTCACCATCATAACAGAACCACCTCAACAATACAACAAAAAAAACAGAATTTCAGAACAACATCAACAAAACATCACACAAAATCTCACACAAAAACACAAAACAGAACAACATCAGAACATCCCTACCCCACCTCCTCACCTCATTCATTCATCAAAAACATCTAAACAATTTCACCTAGATTTTAGAAAGTAATTTAGGTGAAATGGTTTTTTAAACAAAAAAATTACTCAAAATAATCAGAAGGAATTTTAAACACTGGACATTCTACAAATTGATTACAGCATAAATGTTTTCTATATTTTTTGTTGTCATAAATATATGTGATAACCTTATTAAAATCAGCAATTGTTTTGTCTAAATTGAATTTCTCTAATTTAATACAACCTATTACCATATCAATATCGTTGTTACCAACTTTCTGATAAATTTTCTTTAGGCAGTCTATTCTTTTAAATGAAAAATTGAATTCCTCCTTTAATATTTTCTTATCTGGAAAGAAATGACATTTAACAAACATATATGTTAATCCATCAATTGCTTTACATTTGTTTTCTCTCTCAACTATTTTTGGTAGTCTTTTCAAATATTTACAATCTTCGCATTCGTTATAATTAAATTTACATATACTATTAATAATATTATTAGGTAAATTTAATTTACATAATTCAATTTTTTCATCTTCTAATTTACAAGGACAATTTATGATTTTAGTTTTCATAACTTTACACATATCATTTACATAAATTGTATTCAAGAATTCATTAATAATTTCTTCCTGCTCAATCTTACTGAGCATTTCACTAATATTTTATGTCATTTTCTCTTTAAGTGTTTTTCCATTATATGGTCATACTTTCAACAACTCATGTCTTAAAAAAGAACGGTCTCTGCCTTCCAAATAGTAATAATTTTGTCCTAACTTTTTTTCAATCTTTTTCACAATAAATATTTCTTTCAACCAATGGCTACTTCTCTCCTTTTCTGTAATAGCCTTTTTTCTCATTACCTTTACTCGGTCTGAAACCTCCACATCAGGATAGGTTCTGCTTTTCTTGGCTTGTAATGAAATATTCATTTTAACATCAAACTCATTCTTTTTCATTCTTGCATCTCTTGGTGTAAACTTGGTTACTGAACTTACCATTTTATTATTATAAGTTAACATTACTTCAAAAATATAATCAGTCCACTGAATATTTTTCTTACTCTTCTTTTCATCTGCGTCAACTCTTTTGAATAACATATCTTTGAAGGTCCTTATAAACCTCTCTGCGAAAGCCGGATGACCTCTAGTTGTATGAAGTTCAATACCCTCTTTTTTTGAAGTATTCTCTGATTTCATTTCCTAATAAACTGCCTTCCTCATCTGAATATATCATTTTTGGTTTCTTATCCATCTTTTGTATTCCTTCCATAATTCCACCTAACACATCAGGCGGGTTCTTGCTTGTAATAGGTATCACAACAGCATACTTACTAAAAATATCAATTAATACCAAACCAACTCTAAATTTTTGTTCATCATCAAAATCATTTTTAGCCATAAAAAATAGATCTAACTGATATTCAAAATAAGCATGAGGCGCAACAAAACTATTTTCACCTCTTGGCTTTCTTTTCTCTTCTATATGTTCACTAAAGAATTTATTCACATCATCCATAGTAATTGTGTTGTCTCTCTTTCTGGCATCAGCCAGTGTTGTTGCACGGCTTCCATAGCCCGCTCTATCAAAATAAGTATTTGATATAATATCCTGTTTAGAACTCATTATAATAAACAGGATATTATACATTAATCTAATTGTGATAATTCAGGTTCTTTTTCTGGCTCTTGTTGCTTCAGCCATTCTTGATGTTTGCTAGTTTTGAAATGACGCTGTTTTTGATGTCTAGAGCAACTAGAACCACATTCACATAAAAACCTATCCTCTCTTCTTGTTTTGTTTATCTCGTTTTTGTTTTGTTGGTAATGTTGTTTTTGATATTCATGTCTTTCTTCCTTATGGGTATGCCAATAATCACGCGCTGTTTGCTTAATGACATTTTTGTTTTTTTTCATAGCGTTCTTTTTGTAGTTGTTTGTAATGTTCTTTATGTTGTTGCTTATACTCTTGAGGGGTTCTTCCAGCAACACACTTATTAACACATTCCATACATTGAATAAACTGACCTTCTTTTCTCAATAGCTCTTCCTTGCTTTCACACGCATAATTCTCAATCAGTTCTATTTTGCAGTTCTCAACCCCAAACTCTTCAAACAATAACCGAGCTCTTGTATCAACTTTGCCATTGTGCTGATATAATTTGTAACATTTTCTATGTCTCTCCATTCTCTTGCTTAAGCTTTCACATGTGCTACCAATGTAGCATTTATTATATCCAACATCTACTATTTTGTATATTTTGCCATTCTGATACCTATTCATACCACTATCTACCATATATAACCAATATTCCTTTAATCCCTTTTCAGTGAGCACTCCTATTACAATCATAACAGTAAGGGATGCAATTATCTATGGAATGCGGAAGGGAGTTATCCAGTCTTTGCGCCGTGAAGTTTGTAGTCAGTCTTCCACCTTTAGTATCCAAATAAAATTTCACACCACAGTTACAACAGCAACCTCTAAAATGCTTAAGGCAAAACTTTTCATCAACATAATTTTCATCATCTATTTCTCTGTTTTTTGCCCTGTCTTGTCCTTTGTATCCTTCACACTTTCCCTTGAAATAATTCACTACCAAATTCTTAAACATCTCTTCATCAGCTTTTTCATTCTTAAAAAAGTATACATTGTTGAAATCTCTGGCTCTTGTGATAGCACACCACAGCCACTCTTTGCTCACCAACTCTGTTCTCTGCCATTCATGTATTGTTATATTACCACTTATTGATGTCCCCTGTCTACTATGACAGGTAGCACAATAAGCATATCTAAAATGTTTGTCTGCCACCTTCTCACTTATAACTCTCACATCTTCTTCATTCTTGATGTCCTTTATCTTTAACATATCATCTTTCACTTCTAAAATCCTCCACCTGATATTCACATTGAATTTTCCTTCTTTTTCATGTCTGTAAAGTCTACATATTAAAATTTCATCTGCTTCATATTTATCTGTTTTCCCTAATCTCTTCCTGACTTCATTAGCCACTGCTTGACATCTGATGTTGGTATAGGCTATGTTATTTTCACTCACCATAATATCTGATGTAAATTTGAAATGCTTAGTTGCCCAATCTGAAATCTTCATGTCCTTAATCCATAAGTCATCATATATCTCATTTAATTTCTTCCTGTTTCTCTCGCCTGCTTCAGTGTCTTTACCTCCTACTCTCTTACATATCTTTAAAAAGATGTTATATTTAAATATTATGTCTAAACAATTATCCACATAATCTTCAACATTCTGACAATTTGTGTAAGGCTCTATGCTCGGAAGTTGTTTGACATCACCTGCTCCAATAACAATTTTATCAGGATTTTTCAGGGTAAACTGCCATATCTTATTCAAAATGAAAGGTGAAGACATATAGACTTCATCAAAGACTATAGCATCAAACCCTGAATAATCATATCTCGGTAGCTTACTTTCTTTATCAATGCCAATACCAAAGAACATATTCAGTGTCACCGCTTCACATTCAATTTCCTGTTTTAACATATTCTGAGGAACTACAAATAGAGTTTTGTAGCCCATCTTCTCTAGATGTTTACCTATATAACTCTTTCCCGAACCAGCGTAGCGAGCACGAATTAGACACCTCCTCTTTCTGATTATTTGTTTACATATCTCTTCTGTGTTCCATTCATCCTCTACTTGAATACTTTCATTTTTGTAAACCGGTATTTTTATCAACTCATTATGTTTCCACGTATACCAGCCAGAAACAGAATTTACCCCCATCTTTTCAACTCTCCAGTTACCAATCTCACTACCAAACTCTAGTATCTTCCTAGCCTTCTTTAAGTCTGTCTTGGCTATGTGTAGCGCATCAGTTTTTATAGCATAAACTTTGATACCCTTTTCTTTGAGCCTCTCTACTGCATCATACATACTGTAGTTATGATTTTGTAATAGCAGTTCTTTAATAAAACGAAACCCATTCATTAATTGCTTCTGTCCTGAAATGCTCACTATGTAATATTTGGTTGTTCTGTTTCTTTCTTTGGGATCACTCCTCCCATCCATCTCTTCATATTCAACATCATCTAAGGTATAGATTTTGCCCCCATACTTGTTCTGATAATGGAGTGCCTCCTTAAGATTATCAAACATCCTGCTCTTATTTAATTTGTTGTAGCCCTTTTCTAGTAGACCAAAGGTAATGTTTGCGATGGTCTTCTTTATCATGTTGTTTTCATTTTCATCTTCACCGATTTTTGCGTTGTATAATTCTTCAATGGCTTTCTTATACTTCACCTTGTGGACATGAGAAGGTGTCTTATAGTAAAGTATTTTCATAACTAC